CCATTGTTCGCTTTTTATTCATTACATTATATGGAGTATACTGCAACAAAACCAGACAAAGTGAATATTGATGTTACAAAGAAATTTCAGGAGCAAAAGTTCCCTTGTTAATAACAATAATGTTAGTTTTGTTTCTAAGCACCAATCAATTAAAGTGACTCGCGTAGATAAAAATAATTACCAAATCAATGTCAATTTTGCTTAAAAGAATTACCTCTTTATTTAGATTGCCTTTTAGTTAGTTTGAATTTCGCCAAGTACGTAGTAGTTATAATTGGTATATTTCTCCGGATATTGTATGACCAAACTTGTGCAGCCCAATTGATTATCCATAATAGTGTTCCTATTACGAGTATCGTAATTCTTTCGAATATTCGTTAATACCTTCGAATATCGTAATACTTTCGAATATTCGTAATAGTAATACTTTCGAATATCGTAATACCCGAATGTTTGTAATACTTAAAATTGATAAAATTTCCTTAATTAATGATAAGAGTCCATTACCAAAGATAGATTGAGAGTAGACCGTCAAATAAAAAAACACAAAACTTTGACAAAGCATGAAAGACTTTGAGAATGCTATATTTGGGATCAAACCAATCATCTTTAGGAAGTGATGTCATTCGAGGTTTTAAGCACCTAAAATGAAAATAGTATTGACATTCATCACAAACAACAGTAGATTCTTCTTCGCCTTTTCCTCCACAAACATTACATCCACAATCCTTACATTTTTTTTTTTTATTATTATTACATTTATCACAATAAAAATAATCCTCAAATTCTCCAAATTCTTCAAATCCTTCAAATCCTTCAAAAACATTGTTCTGATTTGATAATGGTACTGGTGGTATTGTTTCTTCTACTATTGCTACGATAGGTATTTTAACAGAAATATTGTTATCAAGTTTAGTTACTTTTTGTTTAATCGGATCTTGCTGAAAAAGTAACACGGTGTTAGTGTTTTTGATTCCATAATGAAAGAGTGTATGACCGTTTTCGAGCTATGTATAATAAAAAAAAGAATTTTATATACATATATGTATAATGGTGAAAAATATGTGTACATATAATTTAACACGCGTAATGATTTATTTACCTGTTTTCCACCAAAAAATAGTCTTTGCTTCTCTGGTGAATATTTTATTCCTAATCTTTCTGCTATTTTATTTCTAAGTTCCTTAATATCATCAGTTGGTTTACATTCAGTTTTAACATTTTTTTCCTCACATCTAACGTAAATGAACATCTTTTTTTTTTTTCTATTGCTATCTCAAACCCCTTGAATATAGAATATATAGTGAATCTCGATTTAACTAGTACAAATTTAGAAACTTTCTGCAGTAACATCCAATCAAATTCCTTTTTTTTGCAGATAGTTTCTAATTTTGTACTAGTTAAATATCCATTATACTGAGACTCACTGTGTAAATAAAGTTAGCAACAAAACTATTTTGGAGGAGAAATGAAAGTCAAAACTTAAAAACTTGTTTCTGCTTAAACAAACTAATTTTATACAAGTTTAACAATATAACAAGAGTTTACAAACTTTTTTATTGGTTATTTCATTTAATAACTTTTATAACCTTATTATTTAATACTA